AGATGCAGAGGACAATAATAGTAAATACTTTCAGTGTTTGCAACTTAACAGTTTGCTATTTATCGCATTACAAAGCAATACTCTACATGTATGTAAGAAGTAAGATTCACTAGATCTTAGTGAATCTCAATTCTTAAGCCTTTTGCACTGAACGATGAAGATTACTACATGTATGTTTGTAGCACTCATCCTCTCTACTATTTCCTCTTTCTCTTGCAGGGATTGTCCAATATTTCTTCAAGCACTCTTTAAGTATCCATTCCCCAACTGGCAAAAATGTGAACCTACCTTACACCCTGGCTTGTGTTCATTGGTACAAAGTTCACCTTCATGCAAGGTTTTCATTTGGTTTACCAATTCAAGCATGCCTGCCATCATTTGAAGTTGAGTCAGTGGCAGCTTTTATTCCAGTAATGAGGATTGATAGTGTATGTGGTGTAGCTGAGTTGAGCTACAACTTAGGGACTGTTAATGGTAAAGAGAAAATTGTTGTGGCTTTCCCTCTTGACCTTAAGTTACATGTAGGAATATTAAAAGCAATTAGAACTTTTAAAACTAATTTAAAGCAATTAGAACAATTGAAATTGAACTTCTATTTTTTGGGCAGTGTAATGCCTTGCAAAGGGTGATCAGAAATGTGTTAAATGCTCTGAAAGACTTGTGAGGTTAAGCAATATTACTTAACCAGACAGTACACAAGACTGTTTTGTCTCAAACCTTAGTATCCAAATGTGCTTATTTTTTGAAAACTGATGATGTTGCCATTTGGCTTTAGCGTTCTCTTTTGTCTGGCTATAATTGAGGAAACCAAGCTTTCTTTTTAAGTATATAGTTTTTTTCCTACACATACATGGTCAGTGAAAATTCTGGGAATTTTTTTTATATTCCAGTGGGTGGCAGGAGGTGTCTGCTTGAGACACTGTAACAATAGGTTTGAAATACCCAGTGTTCACCCAAGTAGGAGTCTATTGTAATTGTTGGATTAATTGTCTTTTCTGTTAGTTAAACTGTTCAATACAAGTGTATATAGGTTAGCTTACCCCCAGAGGTCAAGTGAGTGGCCCTATATATTTTAATCAGTAGTGGTTTGCATTTTAATTCTTAGCAATTTAGTTAGCAAACAAATGAAATTTTACTTTAGTAAACAATTGTATGGTGATGGTTGTGACCTTTAGCGGGATAGAGCAACTTTTTGCATTTATTCTTGAGTGGGTTTTTTGGCAAGATACTCGAATACTTGTCAAATTTGAACTGCTCTGGACTATTGATTATTTTCACCAAACTTAAATCATAGATTGTATGGACTGATTGGACTGTTTCAAATGATGACACAGTACAATCATTACTCAACTGCCTCAAATAATCACAATGTCTCAAATGACCAAAGAGGTTCACTGGTATTGACTCTCTCAAATGACCAAACTGCTTCAAATGGTCCAAATGGCTAAGATGAGCTGACTGACTAAAATTACTAAAATGACCAAACTGGTTAAAATTCTCCAACTGCCTCAATTGTCCAAACCTGTTCAAGTGACTCAATTGCCTCAAATGACCAAACTGGTTCAAATAACTCAACTGCTGCGAATGACCAAACCAGTTCCATCGACTCAATTGCCTCAAATGCCCAAACCAGTTGAAATGATCCAAAAGCCTCAAATGACCAACCATTTCAATTGGTCAACCCAGTTGCCTCAAATGACCAATCCAGTTCAATTGGTCAACCCAATTACTCTGAATAACCAAGCCAGTTCAAATGACCCAACTGACTGAAGGACCAAAGCAGTTCAAATGATGCAACTGTCTCAAATGGCCAAACTGACTTGATTGCCCCAACTGGCTCGAATGGCTAAACTGGCTGAAATGACCCAATTGACAGAAATGATTAAACCGGCTCAAGTGACTCGACTGGGACAAAGTTCCTGACAAAGTTGCAGAAGAGTGGTAAAGTGGAAAATCTCTTACAGCTTTAGGGTAAGAATGTCTGCAGTAGTTATAGATGAGCAAATTAAGAGCTTTGGTTATATGTAGATTTAGCCAAGCCTAAAAGCGGAGCTCGCATTTTTTTTACCCGCACTTCCCAAGGGCACAACGTCTTGCACCGGCCAGGACTAGAACCGGGGTCGTCCGACTCGGAGCCCAGTGCACCGACCACTGGACTACGGGACAAAGCCGTGCCCGCGGTACAGTTGACCATGTATGTTAAAAGTAGCACCTTGTACGGTCGGTCGTACGGTCGTAAGTCCAAATTTTTTCGGCTTGATGGGTTACTACTACCATTTTGTATAATTATGGGGCTACGCTCTGCGAGCTCCGCTATAATTAGTACAAATAACAGATATACAATGTCCTTACACTTAGTATACGTGTATGCGTAATGATCAGTATACAAAACAGTACACACTTGTGTCCTGACAAAATTGTCGGAAAGGGTGCAGAAAAATTGCTTTTCAGTAAATTTTTAGGGCAGCACCTGTATGCAAGTAAATTAAAAGCGTTATAATACTTGGGGAAAAATTGGATATAGGGTGTCCCAACACTTAGTATACGGTTATGTGTAATAGTGGAGCTCGCAGACTACTATTACTACAAAATAGTAGTAACCCATCAAGCCGAAAAAATTTTGATGTACGACCGTACGACCGTACAAGGTGTTACTTTTAACTTGCGTGGTCAACTCTACCGCGGGCACACTAAGGGCACGGCTTTGTTCACTGAGTCCAGTGGTCAGTGCACTGGGCTTTGAGTCGGGCGACCCGGGTTCTAGTCCTAGCCGGGGCAGGGTGTTGTGCCTTGAGACGTGCGGGAAAAAAAATTTGATGATTTGTAAGAAAATTGCTTCGATGTTTTCAAGGTATGAAGTAAAATCAAGTCACGGAGAGATTTCTATTTCAAGTGTGCTTCATGTTTGCTTGCCGTCAGGTGATTATTTTTAATTT